GTCCAGGGCATCCTGGACCTCATGTAAGATGTCCAGGTGTTGAGGAGCCAGGTGAATTAGTTCTGAAGGCTGTTTCCTTACTAGCAACTGAAACAGTGGTCTTAAAGTCTCAGTGGGAATAGGCATCCAGGCTTGTAGCCAATTAATTTCTCCTAATAATTTTTGTAGCTCTGTCAGGGTTATGGTGGGCTTGACAGCCAGTTGTGGTTTTAAAGGACTTACTCCTTCCAAAGAGAGTATGGTTCCCAGAATTTTAAAGGGAGTAATAGTCTGCATTTTATCAGCAGATACATGGAGTCTGCCTGTCCGTAGATATTTCTGAGTAACCTTATATAACTCTTCTAATTGTGGTCTGGGAGCTCCCGAGATTATATCATCCATATAAATGTACACAGTGGCATGTGGCAGGAAGTGAGATAGGCCCCAAAAGTGTCTACACATAGCTTTGGCAGAATGCTGGGCTATTGGCCATACCTTGGGGTAAAACAGTCCATTCATACCTCTCATCAGGTGTTTTAAAGTTGGTGGAAGGTACAGAGACAACAAACTTTTCACAATCCTGGGGTTGTAGAGGGATAGAGAAAAAAAATCTTTAATGTCTATAACTATAAGAAATAAATCTGAGGGAATAGCAGGGATCCAAGGCAGTCCCCTTAAGGGTGTACCCACTAGGGTCATTCTAGCATTGACTTTACGTAAGTCTTGCAACATTCTCCATTTGCTTGAGGCTTTCTTAATAACAAAGACAGGTGTGTTCCATGGACTTACAGAAGGCCAGATGTGGCCCAACAGTAACTGTTCCTGCACAATTTCCTTTAAAGCCTGTAGCTTTGTCTTAGGCAATGGCCACTGCTCCACCCATACCAGCGCCCCAGGGGACCACTGGTTAGGCGGGACCCGAGGGGCAGTGGCCCTTAGAATTGGGGGTGAACCCGATTCTTTTTCTTTGGGTCCCCCCTGTAATTGATATGGCGAGACAACCCTTGAGTTGCTGACTCAGGAAGCCTATCAGACTCTTCAAGATCCAAAAGGTCATCATAAAAGGCCTTGCTGTCAGTGGTTATGCAGGCCTGTGCATCCCCCCAAAATATCTTGTCCTATGAGGATGGCGGATAACCTTGCCAAGACCAGGGGTCACACCTCCCCTTTAGCTCCATCTGCATCCTTCCAGGTGAGCCATTCTTGAGTCTCCTCTGATGGGGTGTATCCTCCCACACATAGGATTCGGGGCCCAGAAACTAGGTGCCATCGTGATGGGACCTCCTCCTTTCTAAGAATGGTTCTATCAGCTCCTGTGTCCACTAGGCAGCGAAACCTCCTGCCACCTATTTCAAGGTCCATCTTGGGCCTTACACAGGATAATAGGGACTGTCCAATTTGCCATAGGTTTTTCTCCTCTCCCGATCCCTCCCCGAAGGCATTGTAAATGTAGTTGATCATGGGGAAGTCCTCCTTTTGTCAACGGGGCTGGAGGCTGCCCCCCACTTAGTTTAAAGGCTTTCCTTCAATATCAAATCTGGATTTACGTTCCTTTTGCCAATGGAGCCCTTTGCGACACTGGGGACAGGGCACAGATGGGGGTCCTTTTGATACCCCACCTCTAAGCTTAGGCCAGTTCTCTCACTGAGGGCAATTTCTTTTAATATGGCCAGTTTGGCCACAGCCAAAACATGGACCTTCTATCCCTCTAGGCCCCGTTGTTACCTGCTGTCCCAGATTAAGTGAATTAAATGCCTGGTTTAGGGCATGGGTCAGAGCATCTGTTTGCATCTGTAAGACAGCAGCCATGGCTTTGGTTTGCCCCCTCTGGGTTCCCACCTCCTTGGAGACAATTATCCATTTTCCATGGACCTGTCCTTAAGGCCAGCACCGGCTATCTTGTGATCAGCATCCATTCCATCCCATACTAAGACTTTAATGA